ATGGGTATTTTGTTTAAACTGGAATATCTTTAATTCCTGACTTCCTGCAGTGCAGTGTGACCGAAGAAAAAAATGTTAAGGATTTTAAACTCTATATTATTACATATTTTGTATCAGTAGACGCAAGAAAAAAGGTCTCATAAAATTTGTTTAGTTCACCATTGTCCTTTGTTTAATGGTGCCGTTGAGTAATCAAGGGCATTTTTGTAATTAAATAATGTAAAATAGTGTTCTATAACGATATAATTGTATCTAAACGCATTGAACAAAAATAATAAAGAATAACGTAATAATTATTTATAAAAAAATATATTAACAATAATATCTAAGTGAAAAAGGTACAATAGTTAACCAATGCCATCGATAGATGGTGTTCTGCAAATTGTTTATTAAATTTTAAATAAGTAGGTTTGCTTATAATTTTTTTTAACCGCCGATTACCTACGACATGGTAAATCAAATTTTAAAAGAACTATTAACAATTTCTTTGGTTTCGGCGAGGATCATATGTGCTTGGCAGTAGTCATGTCATACTTCCCTTTTTCAGTTCTAAAAAGTTTTAAAATTCACATAGTCGTGAAATTAAAAATAACATTACCCGATTTTGAGTTGTTTTAATTTATTTCTACCCTTTCTTTTCCAAATAGCATATAGTTTTTATTTTTAATGTAATAATAAATTGACTACCATAATTTTATATAGATGGCGCTATAAGTATTTTCAAGCACCATAAGGCCGAGACGTGAAAGACACATAATATGTAAGCAAATAATTACTTTGCTTGCTGCTTTCAACGCAATATTTGTATTGGACCAGCAAATATAAGTTTTTTACTTTTATCTGAACATAAGCCTCCCCATTGATTGCCTCATATTTGGCATAGTTTCCACGATCTATTACGCACGCTTTACCTGATTATGGAACCGAAGATGCAAGTTATATATTATAATATATAACTAATGTAATATGGTCCACATGAAATGTATATATACATCGGGATATCTCTGTAGGCATTCTCATACTTCCAGAGAGTCCATAGTGTCGTCCTGAAGCATTTGTTCTCTTTACTTTAAAATTGGTAATAAAGTGCATGTTAAGTAAGCTTTCTTAAATTTATTAGCATCACACGGCCTGCTGCCTGCACATTCTTTGCCCACTAAACAAAATGAATGTCTTGATCATTTTGTCCGTAAAACTCTATTGCCTGCTTTGACATTAGTCGCCCACTCAGCCTTAACTGATCTTGAAACTATGTTATTATTCCTCGCTAACAAAATGCCAAAAACCGCGGTTAAAAAAACAAAGACGCGCATTCACTATGATCAGCTGACTGACGATATAAAAAAATCGACTTTGGTGAAGTATATTATAATACCCAAAATCCTCAGTAGCAGAAGAGTTAATGACAAGGTCGTAAAGAACACAAACACCGTAAAGGTATCAAATGGTAAGAAAATCGTTAAGCCATGGATCACTCCAGACATTTTACGCTGTATTCAACACAGAGATAATTTACACAAAAAATCAAGAGTCGGCGGATAACGAAATCTTCAAAATATATTTTACTAATCACAGAAAATATTGTAGTAAGATGTTAAAAAAATTAAATTTGAAATAATTTACTAAATAAATTAGTAAACGTGATTTTATAAGTATCTAGTACAAGTAATGTGTAAAGTGTTGGCCAAATATCGTGTTCAAGTGTTATTTCCGAAAAAAAAAATTAACGAATTCAGTGAAAATTTGATAAAAATATCCCATAAACAGTGTACGTGAAAAACAACTAAGAAACATCAAATATTTCGCAAGTATTACAAATAAACTTTAATAAAGTGCCTATTTTATCTAGTAATCAAAATAAAATTTGTAAATTGAAATAATACTAGTTTTTACGCAAACGCTTTACAGCACTAATGGTCACGGGCGGGACTGAGATGTTTCACTTCCATATGTCATAGTTAACCGCGGTTACCATAGATTAAAATTTAGCTTTTAATCCGATCTATACAGTATGAACTTATGGTATCTTGAAGTCTTGCAGTTGTATGCTTGGGTTGGGATTTAATTTTATTTATTATAGGATCCCAAGCAGATGGTAGCACCCAGCCATCTTATCTATCGAAATTAGGATGTTTTTTGATTTCAATAGCCTCGCGAATCATCCTTGGAAGGAATCGGTGTTCTTTAGCGAGGATTTGCGGTCTATCAAATCTGATGTAGTGACGGGAGCGATCCTGTACGTGTTCACAGACTGCAGACTTCCCGGAGCGTCGATTCTTCACATCAGCTATATGTTTTAAAATTCACATAGTCGTGAAATTAAAAATAACATTACCCGATTTTGAGTTGTTTTAATTTATTTCTACCCGTTCTTTTCCAAATAGCATATAGTTTTTATTTTTAATGTAATAATAAATTGACTACCATAATTTTATATAGATGGCGCTATAAGTATTTTCAAGCACCATAAGGCCGAGACATGAAAGACACATAATATGTAAGCAAATAATTACTTTGCTTGCTGCTTTCAACGCAATATTTGTATTGGACCAGCAAATATAAGTTTTTTACTTTTATCTGAACATAAGCCTCCCCATTGATTGCCTCATATTTGGCATAGTTTCCACGATCTATTACGCACGCTTTACCTGATTATGGAACCGAAGATGCAAGTTATATATTATAATATATAACCAATGTAATATGGTCCACATGAAATGTATATATACAACGGGATATCTCTGTAGGCATTCTCATACTTCCAGAGAGTCCTTAAAATTTTAACCCTTTCGGACCCGCGCTTAAACTACTAAGAAATTTGTAATCTTTTTACTTGAATCTTAGGTAATTTCGGGCCGCAGATTACGAATACGCTATAATTTTCCAGATTTTCTGCCGCCATCTTGGAAAATTCATATAGCAACAATTGTATCAAACTAGGCTCTTCATTTCCTACGTACAATTGTGAGTGTCACAGTTGTATCAAGTTGGGCCTAATGCCTCCTTTTTTACGTTTTTCTTAAAAGAGACCATGAATGAAATGAACATGAAAGTTACAAAAATATTTATTATAAATCACAAACACAACTTTGTACTAGTTTTACAGTAATAATAATCAACAAATGCTTTAAATGAGATCAACTTAACATGAAATGCGATCAATTTTCTCAAAGTTTAATAATAGTATTAATTAAATTCAGTCTTTGTTGTGAAAATCAAAAAAACAATTGCGGTCTTTGTTAAGGCACAAGTAAATATCACACTTTGAGCTACGACAACGACTACGACTAGTGCAGCCAGGAGCACGACAGCAACGAGGCTGCTTCAGAGTGTCGAAGACTGGCCAATGATTATAGTATTAATTAAATTCAGTCTTTGTTGTGAAAATCAAAAAAACAATTGCGGTCTTTGTTAAGGTACAAGTAAATATCACACTTTGAGCAACGACAACGACTACGACTAGTGCAGCCAGGAGCACGACAGCAACGAGGCTGCTTCAGAGTGTCGAAGACTGGCCAATGATTATAGTATTAATTAAATTCAGTCTTTGTTGTGAAAATCAAAAAAACAATTGCGGTCTTTGTTAAGGCACAAGTAAATATCACACTTTGAGCAACGACAACGACTACGACTAGTGCAGCCAGGAGCACGACAGCAAGGAGGCTGCTTCAGAGTGTCGAAGACTGGCCAATGATTATAGTATTAATTAAATTCAGTCTTTGTTGTGAAAATCAAAAAAACAATTGCGGTCTTTGTTAAGGCACAAGTAAATATCACACTTTGAGCAACGACAACGACTACGACTAGTGCAGCCACGAGCACGACGGCAACGAGGCTGCTTCAGAGTGTCGAAGACTGGCCAATAATTAAAACCATCGTACTGTTGGTCGACTGTGGGAAGAGACTTCACTCTGTATTTAGAAGAGGTAGGCATATCAGCGAATTCCAAATCTTCCCTTGGTCTCTTTCTTGGAGGACCATTTAGAAGGTGGTCACTAATAGATAACCTGAACGCCAGCAAATCCATGATGTCCTTAGATTTTCGATTCTGGGCTTTGCAGTCAGCACGATACTCGAACCAAGAATTTACTATAGCCAGGTCAAACATGTGGATGATCACTTTCACAGGCCACTTTCTGGTTTTACGCCATGTTCGATAAGCCTCCATCATCTGGTCGCAAACATCAACACCACCCATGAAAGTGTTGTAATTTTTAACTATGGCTGGACATGAGACTTCGATGTACCGTTTCCTCTTTTTATCCCATCTTGACATCTGGGTTCGCGGCTCTGCTCCAAAAGCAGTTTAGTACCCCTTTGTTGTCCTTCCACTTTATGACGCTCAAGGTGTTTTCCCTGTTGACAACCTCCTCATCTTCACCTCTAGCCATCCTATTATCCTTCTTGAATTCATAGAGCGTTTTCTTTTTAGTATTAAATCGATTGGCCATCAAAGTTCCTGTTCCTTCTATTTTTCTTTTAACTAACTCTTTCATCAACGGCAGTGAGGAAAAATACCTATCGAAATAAATAAAACTGCCTTCTAGGAGTGTATTGGCCAAGCGTAATACAACAGCAGCACCAACTCCGAAATGCTCCGAATCGGGTAAGTTTGTAGTAGAGCCTTGATAAATTTCGAAGTCTAGAACTTGTCCCTTGGAGGTAGTTAAAACGAAATTCTTCAATCCTGCTGGACGAGGTTTGTTTTTTACGACTACTTTCAAATCGCATCGACCTTCAAAAGGTATCATTTGTTCATCGGTTGAATAGTTACCAGCATTCCTTGGCAACTGCAGGCACCTTTTTCGGACGGCATCAATGACAGGCTGCACCCTCCATAATCTATTTTTGGTTTGTTCTTCAGTCTGATTCACCGCTGTCACGTCTACACAATGCAAGTTTGTCCTGAGAAGGAAAAACCGTTCCCTAGACATTGCATTTGCAATCGGGTCATACCTGTATTTTTCGTTCCAAATCATCTTCAGTCTTGGAAATTTTATTCACCCAACAATGGCATGTATTCCGAAAAACTTCTTTATATCTAGTAAAGAACAAACAGGTTTCATTTGTATACCAGTATTGGCCATATAATATTGATTTGTGGTCAAAGCCATCTGTTCCATGAGCTCGTCAGTAAAATAGCGCTCGAAATATTCGTATGGGGTTTTAATATCTCCTGGGTCACGAACAGCATCTTCTGGAAGAGGTTTGCCATTGAAGGGCTTCCTCTGCCATCCTGATAGCATACTCAAAGGTATGTTATCGTCATCATTTTCTTCGCCTTCATCAGAAGAAGAGGAACTTGTATGTTCGGGGTTTTCTTCAATAAAGTAGTCCGTATCGATTTCGTCCTTGTCATCGCCCTCGTCCCCAGAGTCATAAAGCATCTCTTCGATAGCAGCGTCGTTTAAAAGTGGAAACATAGTGCGGAAACTGCGAAAAATGAATAATCATTAGAAACTTAAAATACGCATGAGGTTTAATTAGTAAAAGTAAATTTAAGAATTGTGTCAATAAAGTTCGTTAATCCGTTAAGCCAAAGCGTTTGCTTGCCAATAGTCACTGTTATCACAAAAACATCCTATGTTTAACTATTTTTCTAATCAATAACTCGTATATTACTACACTTTCAAAATAAAACAATAGTAGGTACTTACTTTTGCCAAGGCGGAGAGCGCAATCAGTCACGAAGTGTACAGTTTGAAACCTGCTGGCAGACTGCGCGTCGGACCGCATAATCGTACAATACTGGGCCCGTCCACTGCCAACGTAAAACTAATGAGCTATACTCGACTTTGTGATCCGCACAATTGTATTGGAGCGGTCCGAAAGGGTTAATTGCACTTTCATAATTTATTCCTGACTTGCATACAATGGCTATCACTATGAGACCAACGTCAAACAATTCTCTTATAATTTGTTTAATATGTTTATTCACCTATTGCTACCCCCTGTCGGTCATCAGACTTCTAGAGTCTGATGTCAAAATACCCCTGTCTGTCCAATCGACTCCTGGAGTCTGATTCGCCTCGACATATTTTGATGTAACTTAAAAAAATATACTTTAACACTTCTGAATATTAATCCTTTTTTATAAAGTTAGCGTCTGTTGCCTGAATACTAAATTATTAGGTAATTTATTATAGTTACTATTACTAAATTATTAGGTAATTTATTATACTTACTATTACTGGAGATATCCTAGCACTAATTAACGAGATGACCCTGCTATCAAGCTGAAGGGTCCGATAATGTTGAAGCAAATTAATACATAATATGTTACACTATTGTGTTTGTTCACTGAAGCTATATTTCTCTTTTTCAGGTCCTTATATAACTATGACAAAACTTAAAGAATTTACATCGATCTTAAAGCATCTGAAGAAATGTGAAAATAATAAGATTGCCTACAGACAAGAACCAGAGCATTTGAAATTGTGTCATCAAAAATGTCACCTACTGCAAAACTATTCTGTCAAATGCAAGCCTCTCAATGGCAAGAAAAAACACGGCAGGTGTTTCACGCTAGATGAAAAGTTTTTGGCATTATCATTGTATAAGCCCGCGCCTAAGGCTTATCGTTTTCTAAGCAACTTGTGTGTTTTGCCGAGTAGAAGGACACTGCAAAGTTTTTTTGCACAAATTTGACTTAAACCCTGGAGTCAATGAGTTAATATTTAATAATTTGAAAAATAGAGTCGCAAAACTGCCTGAAAATTACAAATATTGCTCAATATTGTTTGATAGATGGCAATTGGAACAGGGCTTACCTATGACAAAAAGAAACTAAAATATTTGGATTTGTCGACAATGGAGAAAAAATTTAATGTGAATTTTGTGATCACATGTTGGTTTTTATGATCAGACTTATTGTCAAAAAAAAGGCAGCCTATAGCTTATTATTACCGCAGTGGAAGCACTAAGGCTAGTGAACTTAAAGCACATATTAAGAATATTGTAAAAAAAGTGCAAGAAAATGAGTTAAAAATCGTGGCAGCTATATGCGACCAGGGTAACTCTAATGTGGCAGCCATAAATTATATGTTAATTAAGGAGACACAGGAAGTATACGAAGTGGAAAAATATACAGGGAAGGATTTTTCAAGGTTGGGAATGACAACATTTTCCCCCCATATGATCCACCTCACCTTATCAAAGGAATTAGGAATAATTTAATCACAAAAGATTTAAAATATACATTGTTGATTCATATAATAGGTGCCCAGGTTACAGAGGTGTCAAGTTAGTGCCTAAGCTGACTGCTCACCATGTCTTACCAAATTTAATCGCAAAGATGAGGTTGAAACACTGCATACAAGTGTTTAGTCAATCTGTTGGAATGGGCCCCGCGTCTATGGCAGGTAAGCAGACTTTATTTACAATAATTTAAATTATAAATGTATCTATGTTGTTTTTATTAATGATTGAAAGTTATGCACTTTCTTATTGCCATTTTGTACATGTCCACCGCTGAATATTGGCCTTGTTATTACCATTTGCATCACCATTATAATTACTTTTTGCAAATTAATAATAGTATGTAATTGAAGTATATAAGTAAAAATACTAGCATTACTAATCTTGACACAAATTCTTATTCACCTTTTGTGAAAACAATGCGAGGTAGTAAGCCTAGGTAGTAAGTCAGAAGCCTAATAAAAATAAAAATAAAGGAGGTTCTAACATAGAAAGGGTCATTGTACTCATCACTGTGAACAACTTTTTACTATAGATCCAAATCTGAAATTGCAAAATGACTGCTCCACATTTTGTCATTGGATCTGGCTTATTTTGTAATCAGCGGGTTTTTAAAAAAAATATACTAATATTTGTTCATATATTTCTTTTTCATTTCAGAATTGGGAGCTGTTGATAAGAGCAGTTACGAGACAGCGAACCTCGTATTATTTTTTGATGACCTATTTGACAGCGTGAATGGTAGTTTCAGCGAAATTATATTAGGAAAAAAGTATCGTGCTGCAGTAACTCCAACTTCATCCTATCCCGATTTGTGGAATTATAGTATCCCAATCCTCAAAAGTATGAAATTTGTAAGCAGTAATAGTCAAGGAGTAGCCACCTTTATCCAGTTGGATTAAAACAATAGAAAGTTTTAAAAATATTGTGAAATTTTCAAATTCCAAATGGATCAACTCTTTATTACTGTGAAATTTTAACCAAGATCCATTGGAGAACTTTTTTGAAGCAATCCGAGCTCATGGCTATAGTAATATAATGCCTACGGCATCTGCATTTGAAGAAGCATTTAAAACATTGTTAATAAACAATATAACATCTTCACATTCAGTTGGATCAAACTGTGAAAAAGATGACAGTGTTTGTCTCCAGTCCTTAAAATGTTTTTAACAAATCCTAGAGAAAACAACACAGCAACAAAACATGAAGATGAAGTAGACTATGCTCATTTATATATAGACTCTATTAATACAGATGCACTATTAGTAAGTAAAACTCCAACAGATCTTGAAAAATAGGTTATTGCAGTGGCTGGATAGCACAACTGGCCAAGAAACATGTGTTTAAAAACTGTGTGACTTGCAGGCATGATTTGGAAGCACAACATTTATTAAATTTTCATAAATTTATAAAACTGAAATAATATGAATATAAAAAGTGGTTGTGTTATCCTACCAGAGCATTGTTTGATTTCTTTGCCCAAGTTGAACATATTTCAATAGAAATATTAAAAGATACTGATAAAAATTATATATCTAAATGTATTAAATTAATTATGACAGTTAATTTTAATTTTTTAACATGTATAATACACAAAAATGATTTAACTGATTCTTTAGTAAATTAATCCACATTTTTTTTATAAACAATTGGTGTAAAGATATTATAAACAATGTCCTCACTGGAAAAATAACTTTTTTAATGTAAATGACACTATGAAGGAAAAAGAGGATAAAACAATAATTTATTTGTAAATATTTAGATTTTGTTCAGTTTTTTCTCGTGGTAGAGCCATGCTGCAGCTATACTTGTATTATGATTGTAGCACGAATGCGTCGGCTCGACCGGGGAAGGAACACGCTCTCACAGAATACCAGCGTAAAATAGCAGCTTAATAGTACTGTGTTTCGTATGGTGACTGTAGAGATCCAGAGACCCTTTTTTACTGGAAACAAGGCATTCCATCTTAGCCCTCAGGAGTGACAACGCATCTGCGTTTTGATTCTTAATCGAGGATACATGTAAATGCTTATGGGCCACAGATCAACTTACCACCAGGTGGACTGTGTGCTCGTTTGTCACCCTTTTTCTATAAAATAAAAAAAGGTACTCGACTCCACCGAGTTAGTAATTCATTCATTGGGCGATGTATACGCTTTTGCAACAAAATCCCATAAAATATACAAAATTTGCCTTGCACAAAGTTATAAACTATATTAAACTAAGTTTGTATAAAAAGAGTTTATAATATTACGGAATTTATAGATGATAATAAAGGGTGATCGCTACCAAGCTATTTCTAATATGTTGTGTTATTAATTGTAAATTCATTGATTGTAAGCTGTTATTTCTATTTTTTAAAGTCCCGCTGGGTGAACTAGACTATGTTCATTTGTATGTAGGCCCTATTAATGCAGATGAGCGGTTTAAATTTTTTTGATCCCCTCTTAAATCGATGTGTCCCACATAATTAAATATTTTTTTTCTTAATATAATCCAAGTGTTGAATAAAATACTGGATTTAGATAGTAACTCAATTTGTAAACTAGTACTGAAAATAATAGTAATAGATATTCATGCAATCAATTAATTAAAAAGAGTTTTTTTTTTATAATGAAAGACCACTGACTTTTTTAATATACATGTCTAGATAGAGTGTTCCGCTGCAACAAAAACAACAGGCCAGATTTGAAGCGCTTGTGTTCGTGTTACGCACACAAATAAGCGTAGCTTACACTGCGCGCGGCTGCGCGCGCATCACGTGGGAGCGTACTGATTGATAAAAGCCCTTGAATATTTCCCATAAAAAGAGGGAAAAATATGATGTTTTGATTTTGAGAAAATTATCTCTAAGTAATTTTATTTTAAATATCAAATTCATTCAATTATGATTTTATTCATATATTAGGAGTTTGTGACTATGAATTGCTAGGTAAAATATATTTTAAATGAAAAACATATTGCTATTGAAGGTTATTTATTATTAATATTCTACTTCTGAATTACTTAACAACAACATTATTACTTTTATAATTGTATTGAAAATAAACATTTAATTTTAGTTATTTTCAGCAGGAATCTTAGTGACCTTCTCGTTGAATTTGTTTTTTAAACAGTTTTCGTTTAGATGTCACATCCCGGATGTTATATATATATATATATATACATATATATATATATATATATATATATATATATATATATGTATATAAAAATATATATATAA